CCACACAATGACAGAGTTCAGAAGGCTCTGCGGTGCCCATGGCATTCGCACCAGCTACTTCAGAGTGCAGGCTTCTTGCATCGTCCTTTACGGTGTCTGGCATGTGGGAGCAAAGGCCTTGAGAAGATGCAGGAGATGGACCAGCACTTGACAGTGTGGTGCCGGAAGCGCACCTGCCGCACTCGAAATTCAGTGTGCAGCTACGGCCCTTTTCATGGCACCAAGTGCACTCCGCAGAAGCTGCTTTCCATAGTGCACCAGTACACAGGGGCCAAGTACACAGCTGCGCCGAATGTGAAAGGCATTGCCCGTCAAGCCGGCGGATTGCGGCGGCAAGTGGAGAACGTGGTCAGCGCCTTGCTTCACCTCGAGGCCACCGCCGGCGAGAGTCAGTCTGCGCAGATCAAGCTCAGTGGCGATGTGGAAGGACTGCTTTGTTCGGCCATGTCTAGGTTTGACATGTTGAAAGCACAGCGCATTTATCAGTTTTGAAACTCAGTCTGCGTCAGGAGATTGCACTAGCTTGCGGCGATGCTTCATCTCAGCCAAGAATGCACACTTCCGCTCTGAGGTGGAGGCCGTTGAGCGGCGCCATCGTGGACAAAAAACCAAGGCGTACAAGATGCATGTGCGGCTGCTCGGCTTGTGCCAGCGGGGTGGCATGATGGCGATGACCTTCTTGCCGAACAAGCTTGTGGCCAAGAACGGGGTGCCGCCGGTGGAGAGCTGCCAGGAGGTCTGTGGGTCAGGATTGCTTGCGCAAATCCGAAAGCGGTCTCGCACCGTTTTTTTCAGTGACGGGGCCAAGGCGTACCCGAAAGCTCTTGCCATCAGTGGGCTGCGCAACGTACATAGCCGCGTTGCTGTCCACAGCAGACAGGAATTCATTAGAGAGTGTGTGACGCCCGCTGGGCACTCCAATCTTGCAGGGACCATGTTTATTGATTCGCGCTGGAGAGCGCTGAAGCAGTTTGTCGGCACACATGTTGCCACCAAAGTGGATTATCAGATCAACCCGAAGCTTCGGGTCTTGTGTTTTTCGTGGCTATTTCGCTTTAACAACCAGATGTGTAGCAGCCGCTTCTTCGATGAGCTCGGCCGCTTGGCGCGTGGGGCGAAGTGCCCGCAAGTGCCCAGGGCAGCGTTGGCTCACTGACGTGCAACGGGATCGGGGTGTGGGGAAAGACAAGCGGCGGGGGCAGGCGTGCAGGGATGGAAGGGGCCAGGTCTCTATTGCAGCACTGGAGTAACATCCCCCCGAACCCCCCCCCCCCACCCAAAACCCCCCGAACATGGTTTCGCGTTGCGGGTTTCCATGTACCCGATACCTTTTAGATATATAACTGGTTCTTCAGTCCCTTGCGTTTTTTGGATAATGAGATATCCTAGTCAAAAGGGTGGGTGGTTCACTGGAGCTTGCTAAACCACTGAGCCAAAGCTGGTGGTATCAATTATAACAACCCGACCCTCTTTTGGCCCCCAGAAAATGCGTTATACAATAATAAGGAGGCTGTTAGAACAACTAGGCTGTTTTGAAACACCACAGGAACACCTGAAAGGAGGCTGTTGAAAGTGAAGTGGGTTAAACGCGTCCAAGAGGAAAGCCAAAAGGAATTTGTTGAAACAAAAGTTGTTTGATACCAAAGCAGGCCGTCCCCATACCTGCTTCATCACTTAGGGGATCCCGTGATATCACAGAAGAGCCCAAAATCACGTTGTCCACCAGGGGTTGAAGACCTCGCCGCAAACTTGTCAGATTTGCTCGGGCCACATCTTTTGAGGGAACCGCTTTTCATTGGCCCGGCACCAAAGCAAGATTTCTTCAACCCTCTGTGAAACTTCTAGGCGTTTCGCTGGTGAAATAGCCTGGATACCTATGGATACCTACCAAAGTGATCACCGGAAGCACAGGGCTGTGTTTAAACCATGGTAGCTGGCCTTGTGGAAGAATAGCTGGCCCTCAATGGAATATCCCCCCATCTAAACCAATGCAATCTATTTCTAACCAAACTAATGTTGACCCCATACTCATCAACCGCAATTTATTGATAGGGGGGGGGTGTCCCTGGGTTTAGTGGGGAATCAAACCACTTTTGGAGGGGCACTCACCCCCCTACTAATAAACTGGGGTTGATTAATATGGGGTCAACATTACTTGGTGGTTTGGAGGGTAGGTGGATTCCCATGTTCCCTCTACAAGAACCAGGGGTTCAAATCCAAATCCAAACTATGTTCATATTCATATGGGATCAACATTAGCCGAAAAAAAGGACACCTATGGTTCCCACCTTGGATAACATGGACACCAGACAACAGCCTTTGTCTTTCTGTGCTGGCTCAAGATTCAGGAGCCAAAGCACAGGTTTTAGGCACTACACACCACGCCATGGCTCATCAATCCCCAAAGTCCTGAGATTCGCGCACCAGGAGACCGCCGCTGCTTTTGCCCCCCACCACGAGCCATGGCTTCATGCTTCATTGGAAGGGTGGCTGGCAACAAACACACATATATGTATATGTAAGCATATGTACATACATATTTGTAAACATATATGTGAACAATGTATATATAGAGTGTATATGTATATGGTGCATATATATATATATATGTTTGGTACATATTATTGTTATATGTGACGCTTACACCATATATCGTTACACATATAGACATATTAGAGTGTGCAGTCATAGACGCGTGGTCTCTGTTTGCGTAGTGTATGTTTGATGTTTGTACACAACCCATACATTTGGTGAACCCTAGCTTCTCCATAAGACTCGAACGGATTCCTTATGGATCTATATGTGTTCTAAAGGGTCATGAGACTCAGGGGTTTGTCTCTTAATTGTGGAACCCCAAAATGGATGCTTCCAATCTGGCTTCCCTTCAGACAACGCAAACAAAAACACCTTCCCACACAAAAGACACACCCTTTGATCTTGAGACATCTCATTGGGGTAGTCCCAGGGTTCTATGCTCGTTGCTCATCCTGCACGGACCATTCTGTCGCTGCAAGCAAAGCGACTTCGAGTTGTGCGCACAGCACTTGCTTGTTCCAAGCACGCAACCGCCTTCACCAAACTTAGGCCGTGTTTCAGGGCCAAACTTAGACCTCCTGCGCAAAGTTCATGGTTTGCTAGCTGAAGGGAAACATGTCGGAAAACTAGAGGGGTAAAAAGTCAAAGGGGTTGGTTGAGTCTGGAAATTTGTATTTTGGCGGGCCAAAGCGAGCATGATTCAAAGGCGTCTTCGCCTTTAGCCAACTCTGAGCATGTCAAGTGCAGGGCTCCCGAAATTTCCTGATTCTCCAACCACCCCACGAGGAATCTCCAAGTGATGCGTGATGCTTGAAGGGACAGGAACATGTAGGCGGTTTGGGAAAGACCATTGAAGCAACATGTTTGTTTCTTCACACGCTGCACTGTTTCCCAGACCCATGGATTCCCATTCACAAAGAGGACACCGTCGTTTTGGTACCCAAACACTTAGACAGGCCCGACTCCTCTGAACGGGACACCGAGGATAGTGGAATGTCATGAGAACCCCCGGCCCCCAAAGGAAAGGGGAAAGGAAGCAGTCCACGCAGGTAGCTAGAGTGCTTGATCCCAATCACGGAAGCTGGCAAATGGGTGTGGGAGAACTACTTCTTAAGCTCCAAGTCCACTTTCATGATTGGAGAGGTACCTTCTTTTGGCTTGGGCTGAGGAACTTCAACCAGCTCTGGGTGCCCCTGTTTCCCCAAAATGAGAAAATATCAAGGCCTTGCCCAGGCCTTGTGTGGAGGCAACAAGGGAGGGGCGGACACTAGCCATCTGAGGAGCCCGCTTTGGCCAAAGCTGCCTTGGTGCTCCGAGGCAGTTTTAAATGCTGTCCACTGAAGGGGAACGCCGCTAACATTCACACCCATATGTTCGGTTCTGTTTCATGCTTAGCCTGCTCTACAAGAAGGGCGTGGTGAGTTACAAACGAAGGCTTTTACTACACTGCGTTCAGGAATCCAGCGCGCAATCGAAGAACGGTTCCTGCAAAGAAGAACCGGACCAAATCTGTCCCAGTGCTTTCAGGCATTTCACCATAGTAACTAGGTGGAACCAGCCATTGTGAAAGAGGTGAACATACGAAAGGGTTGCTTACTATGGCAAAACGCCGAAGGGAAGTACTGGGCTAGCAAGTTTTCTCCCCAAGGGGCTAAACAATCACATGAATATCTTATTCTTATATAGTCATGATAAAACTTGGTGCGGCAGTATCCACCCTATCTTAAAACCTTGAGGGTCTTTACGCGCGTGGATTTAAAGAGGAACTCAAGGGAAAACAGAAAGCCATTTTAGGGGGTCCCCCGAAGGAGACAAACGCCACGCCCTTGTACCAACTAACCAACTCCAAAAAACAACATAACCCCATGGCTGCCATACCAACCGTGGTTCTCAGTTTGCTTGCACGGTTACTCAACTGGATGACCATTCCGACTACTGGCTTCATCATGTCATCAAAGTCACCGCCGTAGTAGGTTGAAGGTAAACAACCCCAGTTGACTTTGAAGACCCCAGAAGCAGTCAAAATAATGGACCCAAAACGATTTAGGCCATGCTTGGCTCTCGGAGTGCCAGCTTGGAAGTCGCATGGCTCGGAAAGAGTCCTGCTTGGGGTTGAGCGCTTTTTGGACGTGGTTCCTTTTTTTCTTTTTCCGAGCGTACCCATGTTTGTACATATATATATAAAGATGGAAAACCGAAGCAAACAAAAGACACACCGTTTGACCAAACCAATATGTTCTTGCCCCCCCCCGTAATACGTTTTGGATATGTGGCCAAGTTGCGGGTTCCTGTTTACATTCCAAATGGGCTTGTCCACATACGCAACAACAATATATCTATTGGCCGTTGGTGTCATGTATACTTGGTAGTTTCCCTCTGATTACCCTTCAAACAAACCCCAAAAGGGTACGATTATCCCTCAAACAAACCCAAAAGGGGGACCCTGAAAAACAAAACCCAGAGGCTTGCCAAGCGGCGAAACCAGCACCCGCCGCAGCAGATTCTCAGGCTTCAAGCCCTCCTGAGCCCAAGTTGTTAGCCACTCGGATTGTAAACCCCAAGCTACAGGGTTAACCCCACAGGGGTTTGTAAGCGGGATATAGCATATATGTAGGTTACCAACAACTGACTGACTTGGCCGAACACCCAAGAACACAGAAAGTTAGATTTTGTCAGAGGCGACACAGAAAGACCTTCAGATCAGATTCGGGCAACCAACATAAAATCAAACATGTAATATCATGTTAACCATGGATTAGTAAACCCCTGGTTGAGTAATAGGGGATGTGCGCGCTCGCCAAAAGTGAACATGCGTGTGTTGAGTGTAATCATTTCAGCGTGGTAGTCTTCCTTTTTGCCTTTGATCGACTTGAAAAGGGTACCTCAAATAACACACTCCCATCGGTTAGAATATAGATACAGGTTTCTAGTGGTTGTCGGACAGTCACATGAATTATCCCAGCTGCCGCATGCAGCCCACAAATTCCAGGACATAATTCCAAACCACGCTCCTCAGACCTAGTGATGCCTCAAGTTGCAGAGCGATCCGACATGAACATCTGCAGAAACAACCGGAAGACATATCAACACATCATTGTCCTTTTTGTTAAACATAATCAGCAAGCAATATGAGCAATCTGTGCCATGGTCAACCACTCCTTGTGTGGGCCATGGTCATGGCAAGCCTCAGAGGTGTCTTTTGACCATGGCAATCACTTAAGTGGATTTGTCAGACAAAGTCAATGGATTTTCTGCTGACCATTTATATGGTTCGGCCAAGTTCGTAAGTTGGTAACTTGGGTTGTAACCCACCTATAAGGCCCCCCTTAATTGGTGGGGTGAACTCTGTTATTTGTCCGTTGTAGCCCAAGTGGCTAACTACTTACTGACTTGGCCGAACATCCAAGCACAACAACAGGACGGGGTACCCACAAAGACAGGGCGTGCCCATGGAAGAATAGATGACCCCAAAGGGAATCACCCCATCTGAACCAATCTAACCTAAAAAGGACACCTATGTGCCCAAGCCAGTCTGCCCAAGCGTCGTCGGCCGCTTGGAAGGACGCACACTTCCGGCGCAAGGCTCGAAGCAGCGCCAGCCTCAAAAACTCCCGCGCGAAACAAACTCGCTTGGTTTGCAACAAATAGGAACCACCCCGCGTTCGGTTCATTTGATTCCCATTAGAATGGAACTCGTGAATCGTAAATGTATGTAGATGTTACGATGTACTGATTCCACCATTCCTTGAAGGGCTTCAATCCCAGGGTCCCGTCCTAGTGGGTGGGGGGCTCTCCAAAAGTGATCTGACCAGCTTATCAATTATAGAGGCTTGGCTATGATCCACTGGCACGACCAGCCAGAAAACCCCGCAAATCACGCAAAAAAACAAAACAACTAGAGACTTCAAACAAACACACACGACACACGATACACCCAGTCTCAATTGCCCAGTCCTGGTTTTGCGGGAATCGCTGTGATTGACCACTTGTTTCGGAATCCAAGGAAAACCGGCGAAGTGAGAGGAGCCCAAAAGACGTGTTGATATCCTGGTACATATTTTGCCTAGCCAAAACTATGAACATGGTTTTGGAGTAGAGCCTACTAAAAAGGATGAGGAATCCGTTTCGGGCGCTTAGCCGGAAAACGAGCACACGGGTCTTTCCAGGGCACGTGCCCACGCCAGCCGTCGCACCGAGCATGGGGAATCTCGTGCGCTCCTCCACCGGCCGGGCGTCGATCGTGGATAGCCTCGGTTGCAAGGAGGTGGTTCACTCACTTCGGAATAAATTGGTGTGGCTCAAAATTGAACAACTGGCGGTACGCAGGTTTTAGTCTTGGTTCTATTTGCCAAGGTGCCATTGTTGGTACGTTTTCTTGATCCACAGCCAAATGAGTGGATTGGGCACCAACAGTCCAATCCATTGGCGCGGTGGTTGAAAAACAGTTTAAGGTTGAACATCTATACACCATATTCCCCGGACATGTATAGCCAATCACAATCCAAACTTAACTTTTTACCACTAAGCTGGTCTGCCCAGAAGTGACCAATCTCCGACTAGATGGATTCCACTGGCAAATGCTGAGTATTTCTCGGTAGACTTGGACCTCTCGGAGTTGCAAGGAACAAGTTTGGAGTACCAAGCAAAGTCCAGGGCCTCCAACAGCCGATTGGGCCATTACGTTGGTGTTTTTTGTTTGTTTGTTTGATTTTTTTTTGGGAAGGGGACGTTTGAGTCAGGGACCTACCCGAAGCCTAAAGAATCAAACAAAGCCGGAATTCCGCGCCAAGCTTTCCTCTGGCTGGGGCTAGTCCCTACCATACGCGGGTTTTGATGGGTGTTTTTTGACAGAGCTTGGTTGTCTTCGTTCCACTGAAAGAAAAACCAAACGTGTTTAACTTTGGAACCAAATAGCCCAAGGCTTTTCCATTTCGGAAGATAGCAACTGCTGCTTTTCCATAATATCACCCAAACCCCAAGGCGGCGTTCCTGGTTGAAAGGGATTCCCACCAAATCCGCAAACACCCTGCCCCCCCCTCCAAGAATAGAAATACCTTGTTGCGACAAACTAAAATAGGGATTTGTTGAAGATGTTTTTGGGGGGTAGGTAGAGTTCTGTGAAGGATGGTTGCAAAGACTGGGCATGGAACCAACCCCAGGTCCGGGACTTGGCAATATGGCTAGTAACCAGCTGGTCACGACCCAAAGGGACTTACAATGGTCCGTGGGTTGGAACCAGGGATACTAGCCACTTACCTAGGCCCCAAATCAGGGGTCATCCAAGAAAAAGACTTGAATCCTCCAACTAACCCAAGGCCAAATAACATCAATTACCCGTATCCTACCAACCCTCATACCACCCCGTACCAACCCAAGCGACGCGTCTGGTTCCCCTATTGCTGTTGCTAGATAGCCAATTAGGCGAGATTCCCTTTCACCAATGTCAGGACTGGGAATCCCGAACTCTGATTGCCAAGCAAAGAAACACTATCCGTCACTATCCTGATCTGTTCTCGGAAACTGCTGCTACCAAACCGTACCAAACCCCAGACGCTGGAGGCCTCCGTGGCCCTAGTTGGAAGGACTGTCCACCCCCCAATGGGTGTGTGTATGTGTGTGTTTCTTTGGGGGGTCCTCCAAAAGTAGGAAATATCCACACTTGAGGGGGGGACACATGGGGGCGCGCGGGGGGGGGGGGGGGAGGGAGGGTTTGCTCGAGTCTCCTCTCCCCGCTGACGTATCGGATCCGAGAGGCGTGCCGTGGGCCAAGCTGCAAATGACTCGGCCTTTCTGCACCACCGCCACCTGCGCGCCCACCAGCAGGCGCCGACTCCTTGGCGCGAAGCAACATTCCGAAGGCCCAGCCAGCCCAGGCGTTTCGGACTGTTGTTGGAGGAGGGGGGGAAGTGTGGTAAAACCGCAAGCGTGGGGAAAGCTTGGTGACCGAATTAGATCTATGGCAGGAAGTAAGTCCAAGGGAAATTCGCAGCTGATTAGGGGCCGCCCCTGAATGATTCCCCAACCGACTCCCCAGCCGTCCCGTCATCCCAAGAACTCAGTTGTCCAAAGGACTCAGAAAGAAAAGGCTTGTGGCACCTTTACTAAAAATGGATCAACATAAGAAAACCAAAAGGTCGAAAGGTCGGCTTTGGCCAACTGAGCATCGCTTTTATAGAGAGTTTGCACAACCATGGTAAGGATGTCTATTTCGGGAGCCATGGAGTGGAGGGCATGAAAAAAGACTTGTGCATGGTTCAGTTCAGCCGTTCTCCTTTTGGGTGTCCTTTCTTTGAGGGGTGTTGCTTTCTTGCGGCTTTTTCTCGGAAAACCGAAAAAAAACACCACTGAAATTTATTTTGGGGTGTCCCCTAAAAACAAACTCAGCGACACCCCAATCGGATTTTCATCCACCGCCCTCAGCGGAGCGCCGAGGTCGGAGCCGAGGTGCGCGAGCTCCGAAAGAGTCTGCCTCAGGCGCGCCTCCAGGCGGTCGTCCCGCTTCACCGGCGCCTCAGGCGCGTCCAGCCCGCAACTTTGAACAAAGACTTCAACCCCCCATGCGCCGCCTTTGGGGGAGAAACCAAACACACCTCAACACCATGAAAGTCGGAAAAGACAATAGGTAGTCACTAGAGGTGTGTTTGGGATGGCGTGTTTGTCGGGTTGTGGGGGATATGTAACAAATCCCTATAGTGCTTGGGGGGTAGGAGCAGTTTTGTGAGCTTAACACCTAATTAGTGGTAGGTTTCGCACCTTGAAGAGCACCTTCTCAAAATGCGGCAATTTCCGAGTAAACAAAAACCACACAAACCTGAACAAGTAGGACGAAAGCGCAGCTGGAATGGTGGGGGACAGGCCTTAAAGGTCACCTTCCCTGAGACAAGATTTTCCTGGTATTGCACAAAATGGCCTACACCCAGAACCGCAAACGATCCTCTGAAACCAAAATCTCATAACCCCGAACTACCCAAATTCATTACATGACCATGAACCGCTTTTGGAGATCTGATGAGTTTATCCCTTCGGCTGACTTTTAAGGGAAGCTCACCCAAAAACTAGTTGGTTGCTTGATTGAAAAGAAGTGAGTTTAAACACATGTAGGATGCGTCTGTTGCGTCTTGATGTTGAAGGGAAATCAGCCCCCCTCCAAAAACTAAAAACACGTCTGTGTTTAGTTTTTTTTCAGGGCTAGCCGCGCACCTCCAAACCCACCATCAGATTGGTACAGCACGCCTCTTGTCGGTTCGGCGTAGGCTCCTTTGGCATGAAAAGCCCTCCCATGCCCACCCTGAAACCAGAACCAGCCTAAAAGCCCTCAAAAAAAATCGGTGTCATTTGCCTCCTGGTTTCTTAACGTTTCAGGTTGTCTCATTTCGTCTCAAGACCAGACAAACACATGGATTCTCTTTGGATGTTCAGCTTAAGAGCAAACACAAACCCACAAACCCACCCCCACGACGCAACAAACCGACAGTTCACGTCCGACCGCTTCGGTCGCCTTGGGGCTGAAGGGCGTCTCCTCCCGGTCCCGAGCAGTGCCCCCGAAGATCCGCAAGCTGCTGGAGAGCATCTGCCGCCTGGGAGAAATGCGCCAGCGGTGTTTTTGCAATATGTTTTTCCCTATGTTGCCAATCTCCATCCCAGGCAATCGCAAAACTTCAAAAGAGGCCAATAATTCTTCAAGCAAACCTGTTTGAGTCGAGTGTAGGTTCCCCTCAACTGGCCGTTTGGATCGAGGATTTGACGCCTGGTGGTCCCGCCGAACAAATCCACCGGCTCTCACGCGACGCGAAGGTCGTGACTCGCCTGGAGCCCTCCTGCAGCGCTTCCCGCGCATGGCCCGAGAAGATCTGCAGCAGCGGCATGCCCTCCGCGTCCGCGGAGATGCAGAGGCCACGCAAGATCTGCAGCCTTCCGTGGAAAGGTGGTCGGTCGAAAGCTTCGTCTAAAGGCATGTTGGTGGTTTGGTGGTTTGTTGGCTTGGATTTAGGCAGATTCTTGCAGAGGGGAATTGAATGGGAGACATCTCTCCTTAACCGCAGCCCGAATGGCTATGTCTGTGTGTGTGTGCGCGTTAAAATAGGAATTGCACCCCAAAATGGTGCACTGATAACCAGGGCTCAGCCTAAATGGCAAACGCCAGTGCTATGTTGGTGTCCCTAAGATCACCAGGGGATGGTTGCAAAAATCATGTTGCCTGTGAGTCCTTTTACTGAAGCAGGCGAAGGACGAAATTGACCATCTACGAAGGGGTACCAAAATGGATATTATAAATCCTAGCGCTATGTGGGCTTGTGGTATTGACGTTCCGGCCCGGGTCAGGCGCATCGATGGCTTGATGGGATTCAAGTAATTAGTTGCTTGGCCAGGTGAGCCATAGTCAAAACTGAATATGTGGACCATGGTCATGGCTCCCGTACTAGGAACCCTAATAGTGGTGGTCTAAAATTTACGAAGGGTCCATGACCATTCCCAACCAAGTGAAGGAACAATAAGGAACAGGTCTTTTGACCATGGATATGTTCTCCAACCAAGCCCTGGCTGGTCTTGGCTGGAAGACCCCATTGGCCCGAAAAAGGACCAGGGGTTCAAATCCAAACCACCAATTTGGGGTTACCTGAATAATGTTGACCGCATATTCAGCCACCGCAGCTTATTAGTTGGGGGGTGGTCCCCTCCAAAAGCGATGATTCCCAGTAATCCCTGAGACACCCCCTCTCAATAAACTGGGGTTGATCAATATGGGGTCCCACCTGCTTCTCACCCGAGGGTTCTCCTATCAGGTGCTCTACAGCTCAACTCATTTGATCAAGCCGAGGCCCGAACAAAACATCTGCAACGGAGTACTCCAATGATAGCTAAAATCGCGGGAGTTCGAGATCTGATTGGTTTCCTGAGGGCTCCCTAAACCGAGGTGACACAATCAACAGGTTTCTTCGCCAGTGCTCCAATGACTGATTCTTAACTGAGAGATTCCCTTAATAAGTCACAGAACATGTCCCAAATGCTTGTCTGCTTGGGAAACGTGGATCAGTTGCTCATTGCCCCCCCCAATCTCAGTCAGCAAAACACAACTCTGCAAGGAAGAACAACTACCTCAGCTTTCGCGCAACAAATACTTGGTGTCTGATTCTGTAAACCTTGAGATGTAACATCAAGAGCGAGCCCAAAGGTCACGAGCCATGTGAGCCTGAGGGAAGCACCAAGCCTGAACGCTCAAGGCCATGCACGGGCTGCCTATAAAACATGATCAACACCTTGAGGCCTCTGCGCCTCTCCTTGGGCTTGTCCCAAAATCGCCCCGCCTTTGTTCGCCCTTTAGCATTGATCAACACTCCGGACACTGGCCAAATGAATAGGACTCTATGCTTTCTCAGTTGCCCAAAGGATCCACAAACAAAAGGTTAAGAATGTGGGGCCACGACTACAAACATGAGTTTTCGTCGTTTTGAGGGTACCCCTTTTTTTGAAAAGGGCGGCGACCAACAGTTGTGTGTGTGTGTGTTTTGTTTTTTTTTGGGGGGGTCCCCCCAAAAAAACATGACCCTGTCATTCACACAAGGATTGGGATCCAAGTCAACGAGGATCCGAGGGTTCTACTCGGGACCCTGAAGCCGAGAGGCATGCGCATAAAGAAAATGATGCAGCGAGGCCAGTCCTTCGAAGCCGTGCCGCCCAAAGGAAATGGCGATTGGAGCGGCAAAACAAATGCGAACTTGTGATGATTCAAGTCCAGTCCTCTCTCTGAAGCCGTGACGCCCAGAGAGGCGATAGTCATTGGAGCGGCGAACTTGTGAAGAATTAAACTGTGTACCTCACCCATTCTAATTGTTTAGGCCCAAGTCAATAGCAGCATATCGTGCCCTGATCAATCGGCCCGCTGATTGGCCAGGTTGCTCCTGAAAAAGGCGAAAAACCGACTCAGCCAAACAAACCTCAACTGAACACAGCTGATGTTTGTCATTGTCCATTGTATGCAGCAGCCAACAAACAAATTTACCAGTCATGATGTTTGCCTAGGTCAAGCAAAGTTGAAAGAAACAGAATGCCGCTCCTGCTTCTGCTGGGGTATTAGCTTCAGCCACAACATCGGGTGATGTTTGTCCCGTAGCATCTTCCACTGAAACATAGTGTTTCTACAAGTACCAGTCATGATAAGTCCTCTTGAAAGCCAGGCTCTGGAAGCTTACTAAGCATGCAACACATACAAGAACGAGCTTCCCAGTAGTTGTTCAACTAACAAGGTACCTGACCTTTACAAGGGCATGTCCATACATTGATGCAAATGATTGTAAGAGTCCCCAGTGAAACTAACATCTTTACCTCGCCTATGGACATGCACTTTTTTGACTCATCTCTGGGGTCTCCGGAAAACGACCTTTGTTGGGTAGACTAAATATGGGCCAGGATCTGAACACACCTTTTTGTGTACCCCATGGTCCCTCAAACGAATACGTTGGGCCAGTGAGAAAAAAACCAACCAGCCAAAGTTTAGCCAGAGTTGGGCCAATCTCCTCCAAGAAGTAGATGGGTGACATAGAGCCTTCAGCACCACTCTCCTGTCAGCCAGGCTGAGAGTCTTCTAAAGGCAGTTCCCCCTTATCTTCCTCGTCTGACTTGTTTTATTTGGGGTGAAAGAAGGAAAGTAGAAAGAAACATCCATTGCAAAGGTGCAAAGGTGGTTTCCTGTCAATGGGTGAACTTGATGAGCAGTATTAAAAACAACAATATGCAATAGTTCGGAGCAACCCTCCAAAAGCTCAAAGGGCGTGGATTCCAAAGCTGTTCTTTTGGGACCTCGACTAGAATCCGAGAAGGACCAGAAAGCAAAACTGGGAAAGCTTCAGCATGGTTCACCTAAAAGATCACCCACGTCAGCAACCAACGATCTGCCCATCAGAAACCAATATGTGCCCACCCAAACCCGAGACCCCACCCTCCTCCCCTGACAAAAACTACGAAGAACAACATGATACCCAAGACCTCAAAGGTCGGTTGTGCCCAAAGCGAAGCAAGAAAAGCCGACAGATTCAGTCAAAAGACACAAGACATCCCAAAGGACTAGCACAATCCAACAGGTTCACCTTAAAGGAAAGCCGAAGCTTCACCTTGAAATCCAAGAGGCTCAACAGGGACATCCCAAAGAAAAAGAACAATTGAACGACTCACCAAAAAATAGTCAGTCCAAAAGAATCGCCGAAATAACGGCCCAAATAATTACCCCCCAATAGCCCCAAAGAAGGAAAAAAGGTTTAAGAGTTGACGTGTTGCAAAAAAGCGTCATCCAGAAAAGACTTGCTGGTCCTCAGAAGGGAAGGACAGGAAGTGTGGGAATGAACTTGGGGATCTGGGTTCGGTGCCTCATTTCCCCGCCTACAAACCACTGCAGCAAGAAACTAAGGCGCCACCTTTCCCAAACCCCAGTTGCCATGACAAAAAGAAAGGGTCGCCTTGTTTTGGTAGTCGAGGAGCGCAACGGTACATTAGGAGGAACACCTCCCAACATGTGGTTTTTCGGTTCGTGTCCCCTCAAAATCAAGCGAGCATGTGGTTTCCCCTTACAGAAAGACGAGCCACCCCAAATTGAGAAGCCTCCTCCCAAGACGGGCTTGTCTTAAAGCCACTTAAAGCTGGAAAACTTCACAATGTTTGGGTTCGGGTTTTTTCCCCTCAAGATCCACCACCAACTCCAAAAAACGCGCGCCACGAAATGAATCACCCCGAGGTCGTTTTCGTCGACATGGCGCCTCCTTGGCTCGGTTCAGGCGCGCTTTGAACTCCGCGAGCTCCTCCCGAGCGTTCTCCCGCGTCTTGTGGCGGTTCACGGTGTCCTTTTCGTACGAAATGGGCACGTCTTGTTTTCGGCTGGACCCCCACATGGATTTCTGTGTTTCTTTTCCCCCCCTTTCAAACCACCAACCAAGACAGATCCAAATGCGCTCACTCCCAGAGTTCCGGGATTGTGGTCACTTCTCGGGTTTGGACCATTTAGTACACGTCTGCGAAGGATGTAAGGCTTCAGCCCTGAGACGGGCGATCGCTGTGAGCGAATCGCTGCAGCGTCCTTTACGACGCCCCGCGCTTTCTCAATGAGGTCGCGCTTCAGGTCGTCGTTCCTGGGTGACCCAAATCAACTATCAAGCGTAAAATAAGAAGAAGCAAGCCCTCCAGCAAAGCCCTCCAAAAATTCCAGCCATCTTTTGTTGTTGGTACATGTCTCTAAAGGGAACCCTTCCAACACAATTAGTAGAACATGTGCTAAATCCCTCTGAACTCTAAAACCTACGTATCAGCTTCCCTTGAATTGGTGGTTTGGTGGTTTGGGTGGTTTCCCATCTGCCCTCTACAAGCGCCAGGGTTCAAATCCAAATCCAAGAGTATGGCTGGGCGCTGCCAAACCAAGAAAACACACACGTCGAGTTGACTCGCTTTTTTCGTCCAGGGCGCATCAGCTCCTGGCGCAAACTGAAACCCAAGGATTCCAAGACGTCGAAAAGGCCCGCGATGTCAAAGTTGGCCAAGGAGTGGAAGACCTCTCGCTCGAAGACAAATGGGTGTTGGTTCTTGGAGTCGGGATTTTGTTTCTTGTGGTTTTAAAGGAAAACCAAAGGACCAGCATGACCCAAATGGTCAACCAACGTTTGGCTTCCTTCGGGGAAAAAGAGGCTCCGCCGCCCAGGAAAGCTTCTTAGAACCCGCTTAGAAGGGGTGAATGCTTCTCACTACTCCGAGGGCCAAATTTCCGGAAGAAATGCAGGCTCATTGCGCTGCCATGGGTTCCCATTTCCCAAAAGCCAGAGGTTCAATTTCCCAAACCACCAATCCAAGCAACCAAGTAGCGGTTGCCGATACATGATGAGAACAGGATGGTGGGATAGACGCAAACCAAGTCATGCTCATAGTAAAAACTGTTCGAAATGAAATAGGTCATCACGTTTCCCAGTGCTTTCAGCCGCAACCGTTCCGATCCTTAATTAGCTGATGCTTTCAGCTTTTGTCTCCGGAAGCCCTGAACTACTGCAGATCCAGGTGGCTTACCCTTTTTCGTTTTCTAACTTTCCACGCAAGCACGCACAAAGGGGCGGCCATTTTGACTTTGAACTTGGTTGGCTGTTCCCCCCCGCGAAAAGGTTAAAACTTGTTGGTTGGTAAAATGCACGTGTTTTCAGAAGAAAACAAAACAGGTCAAACATTTAACTAACCCAGCGGACAAAAGAAAGGCCTGACATGTCGCTAACAGTGGCAGGATCTTGCCGAAGTGTTACAAACTCATCCCTGCCTTTGCCAGGCTCTGTCCATGGGTGACCTGAACCCTGGCTTGCTCATCCCTAATAAGCCATTTGTTTCCAACAGGTCCAACACGGGCTCTTTGGATTTGGTCACACCAAAGACAGGCATGAATCGGTCCCTAAAATGCAGGTTGTTTCAAGTTGCCTTTTTCTTCCTCTTTCCCTACCAACCAACTGCCTTCCTGAGTGGTAGCCAGAAAAGTCCAAACTTTTTGTTTGCCACACTGGTCCAAACCCAAAAAGTGACGCTTCAGTCCGAAACGGAGGGAGTGAGACAAGGCTCCACCAAAAAGGGGCCCATCCATCGGTGTCCTTTTGGAAAAATAGATGCCCCTGGCTAACATGCAATCAAACGCGTCTAAACCAGTGCCATCTATGTCCAAACCCTGGTAACTGGAATCAAAACCCTTCTAAACCAGTGCCTTTTGTTCCTAACCATACTAACCTAAAACGGACACCAAAAGGCGCCCAACTCTAAACATGGGCCACAGAACTGGACGCCTTGGCAGCGGCTATGGCTGGGCCTTGGCGAGGCCCAGGCGCTCCGCATCCGTGATCTCGCGGATGAGGCCCCAGTCTAAGAGCACCGCCTATCAGCATCCCTCCGTGAGCTGTGCCGAAAAAAACATCAGGGAGGCCAAAAATGGATGTCTGTTTTGTTTCTATTATTCGAACCTGCAAAATGGCGTTCTTTCAGTTTCCTTTAAAACCGGCCAAAAATGGGTGCCCTCCAAAAACGACACACCCACCCATTGTAGTAGGTGGTTCTACTACCTGGTTTGGCAAGGATCATGGACAGGCCTAGGCTTTGTAAGCATCTGAGTAGAAGCAAATCTTAAAGGGTTCCGGGCTCGTCTCAATTGGTGGCTTGGATTTGGCTAAGTTGTTAAACGGGAGTGCGCAACCGGAGCTACCCTCTACAACAACCAGCAGTTCAAGTCCCCAATTCACCAATCCAAACCGCCAATTGGAGGCAACCTAATAAAGCAGATCGACAGGCAACTCTCTAATCTGCATGGTCCTGAGTAGTTGAACAGAAGTCCGAAAAAGCCAGGTCCCCCTGCAAGAGAAAACTACCAAAAAGGGACCCAGAAGAAGGAGAAATGGGTACATGTCGACCCCAGAATGAACTCAAAGGGATACTGGATGTGGCCAAAAAAGATCGCAGACAAAATTCAAAGTCATGCGAAACGCTTAAACAAACACACAATGCCTTTTGAATGTTGCTCCCTTACAATTGGTCGTTTAGCAAGGGAAAACCCCCAGACATGCACAAACAAGAAAAAGGCCACAGACAGGACTCCGTATATCTCAGTTCAAAGGTCCAAAAAGGTGATGAACAAAAACCATCAAAAGGAAAACATAGGGAACCCTGACACCTTGCCATTTTTCGCGCACATCGTTTAGACTATCGCAGCACGGTAACATTTGGTGTTGTCGTCTCTGCTTGAAGAACACACAGGGGTTGATTTTCCTCTCGCAAATGTTTACGTTGCTCATAGCTACCATAAATCCCTGTAAGAAAACCAATTCGACAGAAGTCTGGGATCAGATGCTTGCCCAGCGCACCTTGGCACCCCCGGGGGCCGTTGGGTCCACCTTCAGCCGCACGTTGCCCGCGTGCGGGTCCGCGTGGAACATCCCGTCCTGCAGCTGTCCGGTTTCCCCACGTTGCCCCTTTGGGATCTTCGGGTAAGGGCACCAGGGTAAAAGCAGATGAAACAAAACTGTACTGTTCGACTTGTAGCTACGACATAAACTCCACTCTACCGCAGCAAGTCGCCCAAGTCTGGGGCCGGGAACCGCTCGCCCCTCGCCCTTTCGAATTCGAAATCAGCTCGTCCTTGAAGGCCATGATGCCAAAGGCGTGGATCAGCTCCTCTCGCGGAGCGGATCTCATTCCGCGGGCTCAACCCATGGGAGACCGACCCTCTCGGATACGTCGAAACAAAAACCAAGGGATTTGTAGGCAAACTGGTTGCCGGATACCCAACCAAAGTCCGGAAAACCCAAAGGAAAAAAGAATCGGAGTACGAGGATCGAACAACATCAATTAGACTGGGCTTGTGCGTCATTTTCGCCAAGGAGGCCGACTCACTTGGCCAATGAAAAAGAAGGCTCAAACATGAAAACAACAAAAAACGCTGGGTTTTGGGTCGCAACCCAAAACCCATGTTCATGTTGGGCTGGTGAGAGTGGACCAAGAAATCAAAGGTCATTTTCGGGGGCCAGATGAATGGGGCCTCAAGATAGGATGTGGGTGTGTTGGCTGGTTTTGAGCGGAAACCCACAGGAAGACATATGGAGCCCCCCCATTTAGGGATTTCGGTTGTTCCGTTTGGTTCCCGCTTGCAGCCTCCCAAAAAGGGTACCCTCCCACGGCAAGCCACGTGGACCAGGGGAAAAAAGCCATCGTCGGCGTCCTCCAGGACTCGGTGCTTGTCCACCTGGTGATCCGAAGCGACAACCACGTTGAAGCCGGTAAAGCGTGGGCGAGTCTTTAAGGGGACCCACAAAGTAGGCGTCCTTTTGGGATCCAATTGAAACCATCTCAAGGGCGGGCTCGTAAAAGGTCACCCCCCAAAGGAAAAAACCGAAAGGGCAGCAAAAAGGTGACCCTCTGGAAGCTGAAAGAGTTTTGGGAAACTATACAGTCTTTTTTCGGAAGCCCAAAGTCCACTTTGTTGGACAAGAGTAACTTTCATTTGCGGATGCGTCCTGGAAGATGCGCCCCGTGGAAAAAATGCGAACCATGTCCAGTAGCATGGATTTCCTTTAAATCCAACAGGGGACAATTCAAACACGTCTTAAGCAAACTCAGCTCAGGCAAGCCACAAAAGTAGGCAACCAGAGGACACCATCCATGGTAAAGCCTGGTGCGACACCTATTGGAGTTGCGAAACACCCAGAAGCATTGGGGTGGTTTGGAAAACCAAAAGGAAAACTAGCATCTACTTGGGGTTCTATTCTGAGACACACCCATCCACTGCACCATGACTGGGGGTTGAGGCTCAAGGGCTTGAAGCACTGGGTTTTTGGCATATACAAGGTGATCACCTTTTTGAACTCAAGTCCAAACGTGGCTTCCACAAGGGCGGAAATAAACACAAAAGGAGATCCGGTCGCTTTGCTTTGGGCAAGTCAGCCTTGAACTGGGAAATGGCGGTGAAACTTGGATCTGCCTTGTGTGTCTCGCAGAACTCCTGCTTCCCGAGGTCCAAGATAGGGCTCCCATCGATGAACTCCATGACGAAGACGTGGGTGCCACACAGCTCCTCCGAGGCTTGGGGCGGGAAACGGTCGTTGGATTTGCCGGGAACTGGACCCCAGGACTCCAGGACCCCGGTGAAAATCAACCAGATCAACCACGCATTCTACTTAGATCCGGGGTTCCCAGGGGTCCCTCAGTTTCCAACTTGTTTGGACCTCAAGTGGCAGGTTCTGAATGGAACTCACCAGTAGAGTGCGTAACTTTAGGGGATAGCTCCCCTACAACTTAGCATGGGCTACCCCAAAACAATGTCCTTGTTACAAAAAGGACTCTCCTCTAAGAATGAGTGGTTTTTTGGGATCCATGTTAAATGAGGAGTAGCCAAGCGACCTCGGGTTGAACCAATTTCCAGAGTTTCCAATGGAACCGCCATAAACGCGCAGCACTGCAACTGGTACCCCGAAATTGCCGAAAACGGACCAGCCTTGTAGACCTTTGGCACCAAGCAGCAGTTCCCAGCCTGCATGATGCATGCATGACTGATGCCTAGCACCCATGGCCTGGTCTGTCCAGTGCTTCCAGGCAAGCCGCTATAGTTGGCAATCAGGGGAACCCTGATGTTTTTTTGCCCTAGAGGAAGGAATGCCTGGTTACCTGATAGAGTGGCTTGACTGGAAGCACTGGGCGATGGAAATTATCACGGGTGGCTCAAAAAGGTGGCAACCCAAAAGGCGATTTGGTTTCCATGAACTGGGTGGGGGGGTTGATCCTATCTGCAACTTTTACAAGGTGTCGGAATTTAGAGGGACCCACACATATTAAATATGGATTAAAACCTAACAAAAACGGTTTCAGCATCCTTTCTTACGCTCTGGAACCCCAAATGAGAATAGGTTTGAGCTTGTCAACACAGGGTTATCATTTTGATGTGACCCCAAAATGGGTGCGTTAGACAACCAGGTTCCCTTCAGCTAATATACACAGGAGTTTCCTCTGATGACGGTCGGCATTCGGTGTACTAGAGCCGGTTCTGGGTCCTCTGATCTTCGACAATTTTGGGGTAACCCGGTAACCCTCAATCCTTCAACCTCCCAATCCTTCATTGCCGCAATGGCCCACGATTTTCCTCGTGATCCTTCAACATCTTTCCTGGAGCCGCAGGCCGAACCCTTCGCCCCGAAGCCGCCCCGCGAACGGCGCCCAACGGCGCGCCTCTTGCAGGACTCGCCTGGCGCGATCCAAGGCCCAGCACTCGTGGCTGAAGTCCAACTCCCGTGGCAAGGACTCCCTCCACTCCTGGCAGCTCACGGCCCCGTGCCCTGGATTCCAACCAACTACTCCCCTATATACAAGCCGCTTTGGAACCCCAAGCAAGGCGGGCCATGTTCCAGGAGATTCCTACTTCACTGGGTTTCTGGGTTCCTTCCCTTACTGGGAGAAACACCAACTCAACTTTTAGGTCTTGCTTCCCTTTCACTCACCCCAAGTTGCTCCCTTTCGCCCACTTTTTTACACCCAGGTTCGGACATTTCTTCCCAGAGCCGGCCAATTTGCATCGACAAAAACATCGGCATCGTCCCTTCCATTTGGTTCAGACCCCTGGAAAAAAATCCAGTAGTGATAGATTCCCTTTAAAACCTCCAGGGGAAAAACAAAAATGGAAGGTCCGAGTCCCCCGGATGGCCTCGGCGAACTTCCGGAAGTCCAAATCCGGCGCCCAGTAGGCCACCTGCTCCGCCACCGTGGCCAGCGTGCCGATGTCCTCCCAAAACCGTCGACTCGCTCGGGGGAGAAATCCCTCGGGGAGCTTGGACCCGCCAAAGTGGGCTGAACCCAAGGAATGGGACAAACCCCCCTCCCCGGTGGAGGTGGGGGCTAGTAAAAAGAAAACAAACGGTTCCCCCCCCAAAAAAAAAAGAGAAACACATTGGTTCTACTTAGATCCGGGGTTTCCAGTAGGTTGCCTTCTTGTTTCCCTTAAAGCAAAAACCATCCAAAGAGAGTGATGCTCGCCGCCTTTTCTTTGGGCTGGCTGAGTTTCCAGCGGGAAACCCACTCAAGCAAAAACAAACACGGCAAAAACCTACCCAATGTGTCATTTCGGTGTTTCGCCACAAAAGACAGTTAACCCTTCTGGTCTTATCTGGGTTTGTGTCAAAAGCACCCTCCAAACAGGTGGTTCCCTTTAGTTTGTCCTTTTAAGTGCATCCCAAAAAGAGGACTCTCAACAACACAAACACATCTCTGCGTCCTACCATGGATTGTGTTTCTTGAAACAACAGGTCTTCAGTCTATCTGCTGAAAGTTTCTAGCTTCCCATCCGAGCAAAGCAGTGCTTCGGGGCTTGAAATCTAAGGGATATCCGATGCCTATGCTTTCGCTCGCGACCTCCAGGAAGATCTGGTCAACGCCTTCATGTTGCACCTGAAAGCGAATCGGAAGCCCTCAGAAAGCCAACACTCCAGCCAGGGCAGGTTCTTGGAACCTTGGCTGTACCTTCCCCATTCTCTTCAAGGATCCTTCTCTTCAACAAACCGGCCACACCCCTGCGAAAATTGACGGTCTTGAAAGAAACTGATGAGTGAAGGGAATGGGGAAGCAACCCTTCTATGACCTTCCTACAGGTGGACCCGAAATCTGTGATTCCAAAGTAGGATTCCCATCTCCAGGACTACTGTACCACTTCAAAAAAATGCTCTTTGATATCACAGAAAGTGACCCTAAACCCCAACTTTCCACAATCATGGCTTACTCGCCCAGAAACATTCCGCTTGATTGGTGCCTGGTCACTTCCATGAGGGTTGGAAAGAGGGTACTTGCCCGGTGGATTACCTCAAAACTATTCGCCAACCAGCCAACCAACCAACCAAACAAGCAAGCAAGCAAGCAAGCAAGCAAACAACCAACCAGACACAACAAAGAAATAAAACAAAACAGCACCAAACAAAACCAAAACAAAACACAACACAAGCAAGCAAGCAAGCAAGCGAGCAAGCAAGCAAGCAAGCAAGCCAGCCAGCCAGCCAGCCAGCCAGCCAGCCAGCCAGCCAGCCAGCAAGCAAGCAAGCAAGCAAGGAAACAAAGAAAGCAATGAAGACCGAAAGCAAGCAAAAAAGAAAGATGTAAATATCAACAACGACAAGTAAATACAAACAACAGCAACAACGGAAACAGACAAGACACAAACAAACAAAGACACAAATAAATAAACAAATGAATAAAGAAAGAAATAAACCAGAACAACTAAATAAGTACACAAATGTCAAACAAATAAAGAAGCAAACAAACAAACAAGCAACCAATCAAGCAAACAACCCACCTACCAACCAACCAAACAAACAAACAAACAAACACACACACACACACATACACACATACACACAAAAACAAGCAAACACACAGCAAACCGAACCAATCCACACCCAACCAACAAGCAAACACAATGCGTTGTCTCCGTTGATTTGAAGAGAAACCTAAACGAAAGGACCGAAAGGGGTGGAACCTACTGGGTAACTGAGTCTGATAAGCAACATCCTCCAAATGACCCAACTGGGTGGGCTAAAGAAAGACCACCCCCAAGAGTAGGTTTAATAATTTCTCGAAGTGAAACAACTCACTTCCTCAGCGGGTTGTCCGAGTGCAAACTTGTTGTTTGCCACAAGAATGGTCCAAACCCAACCAGTGGTTAAAGTCCAGGAACTGAGGGAGTGAGGAATGCACTGTATTGGTCACGCATATGCCATGTAGTTTCAACATAGAAGGAATCAACATGCAGATTTCTAGGGCTTGATTCCCATTCTTTTCAACCAATGGTTCTTTTCAAAAACCAGCTGTTTTCCCAGTGTTGTTGGTGGTTTTCTAGAAAGAAGGGTCCCTGGAAAGAAAGGGGAAGTTACCCTTAGAATATTGCAAAACAGGGCTGTCCTACTTTAACGCCTTGTGTCGATGTATGCGGAAAGTTTGGCACGGCCCAAAGAGAGGCTCGACCCAGATAGGAGGCCATCTACTTGACTATGAATATACCGCTGGACCCAAACGCACACACACACACACACATACACATCCCATGAAAACGGTGTGCATCAAAAAGTCCAAGACTTTCTGATGTTTTCCACTAAGCAGTGTTCCTTTCTGAGTACATTGGCTAAAAGATACCAAATTACTTTCGGATTGCTACTAAACTCATCCCACAGAAACTGGAACAACAGGTTCGCCGTTCACCCATGCTCCCGTGCTTCATTCCGTAGTTGCTGGAGGGGGTACACTCCTACATCATGGAACCCCAAAAACCGTCCTTTTTACAGGAACCTCCTGTTCGGGTTCCGTCGTACCTGTGGCTGTGGGGAAAACTCATATTATTAGGGTGTCAGTGTTGGTGAGTGGCCAAGGGACCCAGATTGGTATCACAAGGTTCGTGCGATCTTCTGAGCGAACCGAAAGGATCTCATCGTTTGCTTTTCCGGACGTGGTTCATAACATGGGCGAACGACCCCTGCCTTGACCGCCACAACCTCCCCAGTGCTCCGCAGGGTGGCCTCTTCAGCGAGTCAAGCACATCGAGACTCCAGTCGCCGGACATTGGCTTGTTGACCGGGTGCTAACAAACGCCATTGACCTCCAAATGGAGCTACGGGGAGAAAGGAGACCATCTTGCCTTTTAGAGACCTGGAAACCTCCATTTGCTAAAGTCCCCAGGAAAAACAGCAAACGACAAAAGCATGAGGAAATCCCCTTGAAAACCAGCACGGAAAAAGCCTTCCAGCAAATGGAAGGACATGAAAGGTGATCATCTTTTTGAAGATGGAAAGATGGGCCAAACGGACACCAAAAGGCGGGATCCGGTCGATTCGCTTGGGACAGCAGAAAGGACCCATCCGGAGGGCGCAGGAAGGGCTCGGACCCCAGGTGGCCATGTCTATTTTGTGAGTTGCTTCTGCTTTTAAAAGGGAAACGCACTCCAAAACAGGAAAAGCAAGTACCACTGTCCGCGAAAACAAAAGGCCTATTGCCAATGGTGTCCCCTTTGGGCCAATGTCTTGAGGGTCAAAAGCAATTGTGATACTCTTTTCCAACAGTCAGGGAAGTGGACGTGGGTCCTATTTCAGAGCATGCTAGTTGTCCAAAAAACAAACCGCTCGCCCACGTCATTGCAAAAAGGCAGATCAGCCCTGGCTGAATAACGCACAGTGTCCCTTTCAGAGGGCATTCTTCTGGATCATGCGTTGTTAAACACCGATCTCAAATGAATAAGAGTTGCATCCCCAAGTAGTGGTCCTTTCACCCTCGTTTTCCCCTTGGCTCGAAGAGCGGAAGTAATCTAAGAAGAAAAAACCAGGCTACTCTCCGCCTGTTTTTTGGTCTGGGGCAACTGGAAGTCCGACTGATGCGACCGGATCAACCGGTCGCAGATTTGGTGCCCTTGGAAGGTTCTTGGGTTACGGAATCAAATACGTCAGGTACCAAGAGATGGCCCTTGGGAGGGTAAGGGGTTGAAGTACCTGCTTGGGTACAAAGACACCGGGAACGGGTTCCTTGCAGGTCGCTTGGAAAACCGGGGAAACAAGGGTACTTTCAAATGGTGGTCTCCCTGTTTGCTTGCCTTTACTTGCTGGTTCTCAGGGAATGAGGGAATGACACCAAAAACCATCCCTACGGGTTTCCTTGAAGGGAATCTCTAGGTTCATTCCCAACACCCGCAAGGTCTTCCCCTACTGAGCACCAACACCTAACTAGTTTACACAGGTCCGCTTAGCCGCTAAGAGCCTTGTGCACCTGCGCGATGGAAGCGGAGGCCAGCGGCTCTTGATCGAACTCCGAGAAGATCGACTCGCGCGGTTGAGCCCCGCGGGACGTCTTCGAGTCGAAGGGAACCAGCGCGTGTGGGAACGCGCACGTGGGAAGGGCGAGGACGGAAAGCAGGCAAAAGGCCGAGGACAAGCGGGAATGATGAACCAAAGATCGCCAAATGCTCTGCAAATAGCATGACAGGACCACCCATAAGCACATACACAGAGCCTCGAAGAAGAAGTGCCGCCTTGCCTACTGAAAACATGTCTAGCGGGGAACCAACTCTCCTGAAAACACCACAAACAAAAGCTGCAAACAAAGCGGGCTTCAAAACCTCCATTTGCTTAAGTTCCTGGAAAAGCAGATAGAACATATTTCCAGTAGTATGGTGCTGGATGTCCTTTAAAACCAACAGGGGAAAATTAGGTATTCTTGGGCAAATGGAAGAAAAGGGGTTGGTTTAGGACATGGACAATTACGTGAGTTCCCCGTAAGGGACATTTAGTGGCTTCCCTCATCCACCTCCCCAATGAATCCGAAGGACCAACCTGCGCATGAATTTAGACTGGTTACCTAGCATGGTAACTAAGGTTGAAGCACTGGGTGCGTTAGCAGGCTCCAAATTTTTGCTTCACGTCCGCCACTCAAACAGGTCTGTGGGAAAATCAATCAGGGTGTCTGTTGGTTCTTGTGTTGGTTTAGTTTTTTGTGGGGTCCCACTGCCAAAAAGGAGGAGGAAACAAGGGAAGACCCCACTTCCCCCGCTATAGTTGGTTTTGTAGGATCCCCCCCCGCCTAAAAAATTAGCAAGACCACGGTGCAAAGGAGGAAATGAAGATGAAGAGAGCAAATAGGGGCGGAAAATTGAGAGAGAGAGAGAGAGACAGAGCAGCAACATGTGGCAGTTTGACTTCAATCTCGCCATGGAAGTCCTTTCTGGACAGTGCTTTGGCAGTTGCCTTTCTTGGATGTGCGCACTATTGCTTGTGCTGAGCCATGCCCTGAAAATAGGAGCTAGACTGAAAGCATCACCAAGGAGATTTGCCCACATGGCTGTGGGTCAAAACCAACGGTACCGTTTTGGGGTAGGTGCACCACCCATTTTAGTCTATTTTAGTTGGGATTGGGATGTGCACTGGGGGCACGGGATTTCGACCCATGGCCACATAAGATCAGTTCAGAGATCGCTTCGGCCTGCCCGGTCCGCGAAACCAGCCTTGGGGGGTTGCTGGAAGGTCCGCTGCACGATGCGATACACCTCCTCAATGCGGCTCACCTTGCTCCAAGCCGCCCGAACGAGCAAAAAGGACGATCACCTTTTGTAGGCTTCATGGAAATGCACTTGAGTCATTTAGGTGTGGATATGTTTCCACCTTAGGCACTTTTGGGGGAGGTTCCCTAAGTTCCTGTTGCTTTCAAAGGTCTCTCCAGGGCCTACGTCCGAACCCTGCCAAGTCACGGGCAAATGATCCGTCAAGCTGAGGAACTCGTTGGTGAAGGCGTCAGGCAAAGTGCCCACCATCGCGCTCATGACCTCTGCAACTCGCTTCGCCCCGAGTGGGTACTTCGCCCCGTACCCCCAAACAAATCCATCCTGTGCCTGTTTTAGGGTACCCCCCCAAATGGTGGCTGTCCTTTTGGTTTCCATTTAAGTCCAAACAGGTTACCCTCAAAAAATTGACACACTCTCACTCTACAGGGAAATTACTTTGACATACGACAAACAAAGGGCAAATCTGACCCAACTCTCCCCGATGGAAACCAACAGGTTGTTTCAAGGCATTTCGCCACTATAGTAGGTAACCAGTGGACACAATTTATGCTAAACCTGGTACGAGACGATTCGGGTTACTTACTATGGCGAAACGCATGGAAGCACTGGTTGCATGACTCTTCAGATGGCAAATCCGTAGCCCGAGCCCGGTCTGGTGCAAGTGGAAAGTCCCCATGTTCCAGGTGAGTAAGGAAGCCACTGCGGGATATACTTCGGACCCGCAAAAAACCCGCAATGGTTTGTTCCATCCGTTCCTGCAAATACCCCTGAGAAACATGGGAAAATCCACCAAATGGAAAGGGATGTGGGCGGAATCTACTGAACGTGTTGGTCCTGGTGTGCTTTGGCCCACTTTTCACTTTTGTACATTTCGCCCCCCAACAAACGGAAACATGGGCACCCTGGCACCCTGGGGTAGAAAACGCCCTAGGTCTGTTACGTCTGTTAGGGGATCCAAGCCCCGCGCGCCGATCTCGCCTCACCCCGCGCCTGGCCG